GGCGATTCATTTTTATTTATATAGATGCATTATTATTGTAGAACAAATTTCATGACCATAAAAAAGGTTATACTGAGTCGACCTTAAAAGATAGACATATGCTGTCGGGCACTTTTCTTTAGAACTTTTAGAGGGGAATAATTTCGTCATACATGATTTTTACGTAACTTTAACCGTTTAATAATAAGCAGCGTAAGCAACGGAAGCTGTCAAAGGACGAATAATTTTCCCGTTTTTCCGAATTTTTCGTTGCTACTTCGCTCCTATTGATCGTAGCGCGATGTTATATAGCCTATATGTAGACACGATAAATGGACTATCCAACACAAAAAGATTTTTTGAATTCGAACCAGTAGTTTCTGAGGTTAGCGCGTTCAATTAAACAAACACTTCAGCTTTATAATATAAGTATAGAAGTATAGATTATATTTTGCAAAAGCGTTGAATTTTTATTTTTGTTTTTTTAGTTGTACCTTCCATATAAATTTGTTAAAAAAAGTAATATATAAATTAATTTATTCAAACAACTTGGTACAGTCTGCAAGGTTGTTTTGGGGGTAGTATTTAATGGTTTCTCCGAACGGGTTGATATTTTACATCAACAATCTTCGCATTGAGAAATAAATGTTGAGTTTTGACTTGGTTGGAGCATTTTTAACCCCCAATCTGCAAGATAAAATGTGGTCTGTAAATTAGTAACGCCTTCGCAAGCGTTTAGCAACGCTGCCACAAGAATCAGTGTTAAAGTAAAGTATATTTTACATATTTCTTGACAATTTTACCATTAATTCATGGTAGCAACAACCTTAACCTTTACACTATATATATAAAAAACGATCATCTGACTTTAATATAGGGTTTCTAGCAGTTGACCGCCTTTTCGTTCAACTTGGCTGGCCTACAACCCTCGCAAAACAAATTAAGTCGAGTTTAATATGTCGCAATGCCGGGGATTAGCGTTTCGTCCTTTACGAAGACTTATTCTGACACCTTATACAGATGCATTTGAAGCTTAGACTGTCACATGGTAAATTTGAGCCGTGATATAAATCCAGATTCCCTGGAACAACGGAGCAAACAAAGGGTGCGTTTTTACAACAGCAACTCGTCATAATTTTTGAAACAGATCTGACAGTCGCACAGAACACAAAGAGAGATGTACGCAATAAATATATTGGTTCTGAATTGCGATTTTGACCGGCCATTCAAAAGCAGAACTCGGCTGTTCATGTATGTTGAATATGTTATTCTTGCTCAGGGTTTTCAATTCAAACGCTGACTAGGTTGCTGCCGCATTTCAACGCAAAACCTTCGTGCGATCGAGAGATGAGAATATTTCCAAGATAAGTTTTTGTGATTTTTTTTTTATAATATCAGGAGCGGGATAAAAAGCCGCTCGTCTGACGTTTAATTGACTTAGTGTAAAGCATTCCAGGGTTTAGTGTTCCGACACAAAGAAAACAATGCGTTTGAATCCCTTTGAACAAGCAAAATTGCGTTTTGCAAGGTTGATTGTAAACAATGTTGACAATTTCGACCGTAAACAATGTTGCTGATTCAGGCAGGTCGTGCAGTTGTTAATAAAAGTACCTGAGAGTCACTGTTTAAATTTAAAACGACCACAATGTTTCAATTGTCGCATCATCGAGGAGTCGGAGAGATTTTTAATGTTATAAATTGACCTTGAACTAACTAATCACAGCTGATTTTTCTATAAATGTTTCACGTCTACGAAGATGATATGACCTGCTTTCACTGTGAGAGTCCATACGTTGCTTATGTTTTATAATTCTGGCAAAGTTAATAGTGAATATTCTACAGATGAACCGACAAAGCGTGTGAGGTTATAGGTCATTAAACTTTAAAGAGTAGCACTTCGATATTTTAATTTCAAAATATTGTTATTTTGAAATACTACCTTCTGACAAACGACAAACGCATAGTTTTTCACTATTTGTAGTTTAAATAATTATCATTTAATTTAAGGTGATAAAGGTTTTACCTTAACAAAGATTAGAATGATAGGTCATCATAACTGTGACAATTACTGTGACCACTGCATAACGAAGTAGCAAAATTCCAGTAGCAACAAATACGCATGGACAAAGGCGATTCGTCGAAATTGTCAAAACCCCTCAAAATTAGCTGACTTTCGTATGTGCAACTTGACCTCCTCGTCTATGGATTTGGTAAGCAATGTGATATTATATCGGTGTCTAACCTTTCGAACTAGAGAAGCTGATTTTTGCTTGGATAGGTTCTCGGCTTTGGAAGACGAGGATCTTCAAAAGACAGTTTTATGGGGTGATTATCGTGAATAGATAGTATTTCAGTCTAACGGCACGAATTGTGAGACTCCAACAATTTCGTAAGTGGTCGGGTTTAGATTATCTGTTAATTGGCCAGACCAGCTCAAAACTGGGATCTCTCTTAGGGTTAACAATTTTTTACATACTTCAATCCGTCCGGTGGTAGTTGGCTTACGCTCCTCATGTTCCAGGAATTGGGTATTGGTAAGGATATATCTACAAACAAATCCAGGGAACCTCGGGGCGTTTCTCAAGCCCCACTGTGGCTTTGATTGCGGTGTACCCGTAATGAAATCTTCTTGATGGTGGTAAGTACCCCTACGGGGACGACTTAAAGGCGTGGGGTTGATCCCGCCACCTCACATGACTTCAAACTGTACAGAGGGAGTGTACGAAGGCACGGGTGACTAGATCTGTTCTGCAATATTTATGTACAGCTGAACAATGCCAGTTCAAATTAGCACCCGAAATTTGTCCCTCTTATTTTTTCATCGATGTACATTTTTCATTGTTTCGTTTTAGGACTTGATTAAGAAATTAAAAATTAATCCTGCCTGTTGTTCAAACTAAACGTTGTAATGGCCTAATGTTCATGTAGCGAAATGTCAAACAACTGTAAACTTCCAAAACAAATTGCGGTAGAAACGCGGTGATTTTTTGTAGCAATTAATTTCCTTCTCTTTTTTCTCTTCTAACTCAAATATAAGAGTCACGCAGCAGGAAAAGACAAACCCTCGTCAGTATATCAAAATATAAAGTGAAAGATGATGACTAAGGGCAATGGAAGACGCAGCGACCTGAAGTCGCTCGAAACGAAGAAGCGAAAAGGAAATGATTTTATTTGTTTCGATTGACATAATTAAACAAGGCATGTTATTGTTGTGTCTGAGCCTAGCAACAACAACCGTCTGATAGCACTTTATTTATTTGAAGTTGTTTTGAGCGAATTCCTGTTGCGTATTTGCTATGCAGGGCAGCAACCACTAATTAAAGCGATTTGTAGGAAGGCGAGCACCAGTTGGTGTAATTTGAGTTCGGTGGTTGACAAGACCACAAACGCATAAGTTATCGACAAGGATTCGCTACGCATTGCGTAAAGACATTATCAATTCGTATGAAACGTTCCGGCAAGTAGTTTTATTACCTTCCCAAAAAATTGATGGGGAGAAGAAAAAAGGAAATAGACGAAATTTACTGACCAACATATAAAGTAGATAGAAAAGTTTAATAAGGCGGAACATCGTAGGGGAGATTCCGATTCCGACTGGTGAGCTCTGTTATTAGATATTCACTTTATGCAGATGCAGGCGCAAAACAATAGAAGCACCAGAGCGTGGACGTGATATCTGCTACCTGTCTTGTCGCAAATCACGTGAATTATGTAGCACGTCGCTTATGCCGTTATTATTCCATTGGTTAAAGGTCGCGCTTCTCAACTACTTTGTATAAATAAGCTAAAATAAGCTCAGAAGCTAGTTACCTGTGACAAAAATTCAACTTTGCCGAAAAAACACCACAACAGCGCTCAGAGTGGCTAAGAACAGAGTGATGTTAAGCGCCAAGCGCACCCTCTGCTATTAATAGAAGGAATCAATATACCTCGGCTCGACCCCGGCGTCAACGCTACCCCACCAACCATGGCCAAGGACAAGACAATGCAGGTGGAACCATCGCGGATGCACTTGCATCCCACTCCTGATACTAACGAACTCACGTCAAGCGAAACCGACCACGTTTACACAACCAGACGATTCGCATACACGTCAGTCCACAATTTTCGCTCTTGCAAAGTTGTGCGCGTCGCAAATGACGCTTAATTTGACAGTTGATAAGTTCTTTGATCTAACGCCACAAAGAGATAGCGTTTAATTAAAAAAAGTCGAAAAGCTCGCGGCAAGAGATTTATTACAACCTACACATCTAAGGGAGGACACGTTCAGAATTGTTTGTTATTTACATTAGGAAATATTGCGACTGATGGTGGCTTTGTAATTTCTGCTACATTTTTCCATTTAATGTCAGAAGAGGGACAACAGAATGATGCGTGCAGTGGTGTCGATTTGATTAGAAAATTACTTGGTCACACGATACGCATAATCATTTTATTTCTGCGAAAATGTGCAAACTTTGTTGGGGTTATATATCTTCATTGCTCAGAGTATTCTTGGATTTGAATTAATATGCTACTACTAGAATTCCACTCATTCCATTTCAATTTATAACTCTATTATTTTCTTTGAAAGTGAAAAAACTGCACGCGAACATTTCAGAACGATGATACGACCCTAGAGAATAACAACTTGGGTCGGCTACCTGTAAGAATGTGAAGAAATTCCGGGCTAATCCCCAATTAATCTTTCATTATTAGAAATTCCAACGAGGAATAAGTTCAACCTGGTTAAATTTTATATTTTGTACTTAGTTTTAATGAGTGCATGATTTTTAATAAATACTCGAACTCAGCCTGGATTAAAAATTAAAAAAAAGTTTATTGTAGAGCGCAGAATGGTAAACCGAACCCTGAAAGGTCGTAGCCGGTCGTCCCAATCGTGAATAATAAATATTTATCGAATGAAATAGCACTGGTCGAGAGTCGCAGAAGCGTTTAATTGTTTAATTATTTTGCAAAGATGGCCTACGATTTTAGATAGGGAAGTTAAAACTAAAAAGATATATATATGTGGAATTTACCTCAAAACTGATTTTTCCTGTTTGCTTTTGCTTGATGGTATTGAAGACGTAGTGAGCGTAGTTCGTTGCATCTGAAAAAGAAATAGTTAAACCCTTATGAATATGTCACCACAAACACGAAAATATAATCACAACATTACACCGACATAACTACAGCAGCACAGAGTAACATTACATAAATTAACCGTAACACAAATATTGTAATAATATATAAATAAACTAGCTGTAACGTAGATCCAGCTGTTACATCGATGTTACATTACTCATTTTGTCATGTACGTCCGCAAAGTTTGCGCTATATTAATCTAGCGTTTACTATTCGATTTAGGGAGATTTGTAACATCGCAGTTACATTACGCTTGGTTTACCAAAGGTCGTAAATTAGATAAATTAAGACAGGAACAATTCACGTTATTTGATTTATAGTAAATTAGATTCACATAGTTACGTTTGGTGCGTGACCCTTTTGCAATGGCCGGTCCGCACCGCAGGCAGTGTAGTTGGGACTTAATTGCAAATACAAATTATATTTATAACGCAATCAGTGAGTTTTTTGTAGGTTGAGCAGATTAAGTCGCTGACAGGGTTAACTTAACAATTCGCTAAATTTGTTGTATAATCAATAATCCGTTAGCCGATGCAGCAGTTATCCAAACAGCATATTAAGCATTAATTGGCCATTTATTCTGTTATTTGCTGATTATTCGATGAAATATTTCTAACAAACAAAAATATTGGGAATAGTTTTCGTTGAATTTATCCCTCAGTTACAAGGGATAAATCCTATTCGAGTTAAATAGATATCAGTACTGAAATAATTTGAATAAAACGAAACAACCGCAAAATAAATGACTTGGGTATCGATTCATCCGAATTACGTTTCTCCATCCATTTTAATCTCGTTTGTTTGGTGCATTATGTTTTTGTTGTCTTTAACGTCGTTAAGATACATCTCAAAGTTAGGGTCAAAGTAAATGTAGTGTTAAAAATGCCCCTTGCTTACAACAGCCAAGAAAGCAGACGTGTATTGCTGGTTACATGCCTCCCTTTACAAACACCCATTAATCTTGAACTACAATACACATATCTACCCTTTTAATTGATTACGCTTAGCCCAAAAGACATATGTTACCAGTTGAATTAGTTCTAAATGGAATTAGAACCATTCGGGGAGTTAATAGTTTTTGTTGGCAAACTCTGTCTGTTTTCGTAATCCCACCGTTGATCTTGCACATTATTAAGTTATTTCGATACCCATACCGTCTTAAGAAAGTGTTTGAAAACTTTTTTATATAATAGAACAGACCGTAATTTTGATCAAGCGGCAAATTGAATTTGTTTTATTAACGACTGCAATGTAGGCTAAAACTCTACCGCTTCAGCACCCGTATTGCCATAAATCATAAGAAATTAATGTCAGCAGCATTTTTATTTTTACTTTTGCGTTAATTGATCGATAAAATGGCTTATAAAGCTAAAATTGCAGCAGTTTGTCATTTCGTCACTAGGGATAATAATAGTATTCAAAGTAGTGGAATAGCAGCACGTTTTGCGAAGAAAATGGAATCGTGAGCACAAAAATTCAAGGCTATTAAGAGAAATTAAGTTGATGTGAGTACGTGAAGCGATCACCACATTTCCATTTCATCCAGTGACAAGAATTAGACGACTAAAATCTTCCAAATCTGCTGTGTAATGCTATGAGATGTGGAAGTATAATATATGTAAACTGTCTTATATTTTAATGTTAAAATACTCGGTCTGATAATCATGCGAGCTCATCCTAGTAATCACAATCCTGGAGTCCTAAGTAGTTGATATTGGGCTTATTTTTGAGCAAACCCCTGTTACATGTAATTTTATGATTCCTCTTTCGGTTCCAACTTGATTATAGTTTATTCTTTTGTTTTCACTTCGCCTCACAGTTTCAGATTATGGAAATTTCTGAGACGCGATCTAGTTCATTAGTAATTAAAGCTAAAACTTGTCCAAATCCTCGGTGGGTATTTTTGGTGCACACACTTTTTCAAAGAAGTGTAAATATTGGTAAAAGTGGAACAATTATCCTTCTCTTGGCACAATTTGCATCGAACCCACACGCCTGAATTTTATCACTTCATTCTTTTCTTCAAATAACTTAGGTCGTCAATACGAAAACTCAACCGGTCTGACTTGAAATGTGATCAAGATCCCGAAAAAGCAAATTATTATTTACGTTTTTGCACAGATAGTAAACACAGAGCTGACAAATCCCATCGTCGAAGTCCGCCCGATTTTACTGATGCGTTTTATGGCCGTTTGAAGATTACTGGATGAAAACGAGATCCCGGAAAACCCGTGTTTGCGTTGTGGAAAATGAAAACAAAATGTTTTCTTTCCAACCGCCGCGGCTGCAATTAGTAAATTCGAAGGGACGCGGGATAGGCTGTAATGAATATTAGTTGAATACATAAGGCCATGCACCTTACAAAACGAATGAATTGTTTATGAAAGTAAATTGAAACGTGTTTTTGTTGATATTAAAAGTCAGCCTTAAAAGCTGCACAGGTATAAATTTGTTAATTTCTTAAATTGGTCCTAATTACGGTTTTAGGTTATAATTAAATTATTTATAAATGGAAAAACTTCGGTGCTTTAGGTAGAGGTAGCTTTGCCGCAGTGATGAATTTTTAAATAAACTTAGAGAAGTGTTGAGGAAAATCTTCCGAGGTGTGACATTTTCGCACTCCTACAAAACTATAAGTTTTTGGAAGTGCCACTCGGAACATCTTTAGTATGTTTCGCAGAAAGTTTTAGAGTCAATACGGTTGATGATCGATTGGATGGGAGAATTATTTACGATGATATATTCGACTTGTTGTTAAAATACACTCACACAACGTGGCATAATCGAAATATGTAACATATGTCATATTAAAATTTATATTCCTTAAAAATAAAGTCTAGTTAAGTACGCTTTTTATAAGTGTGACGCGCTCCCGCCCTGGCCAATAACACACCACGCAAAGTATTAATTCATTCGTGAATTAATTCAAAGTTAAACTCGCTCACTGTATGTTTTAATTTTTAATTAAATAAGTTCACTGGAGTGTTAACGTTAATTTTTTGGTTAGTACACTTTGATTAACCTTTTGAGAAGGTAAGCGTGCCCGTTTTGTATTAGTGGTTTGTATTAGTACTCATTAATTAGTCAAAATTCTAATTATCAGCATAAAAGAGCATGTTTAAAACCCTCAAAATCAGAGCAAATCATTCCAGTTAACCAACATGGAGCTGGTGTTTATCTATTAGATGGCGTCAAGTTAATAACTAGACGACTTTAAATTTTGGGAAAAACAAACAATTTTTGTATTATGAATTAAAAAAAAAACGCAATAGGTGATTTTCCTCTACTTTGTATGAATTAATATAAAAAAGTCCGTTTGTTGTTTCAAAACTTCTTCATTAGTGACTAGAGGGACGATTTAGAATAATAAAACCATAACCTGTAGTAGTTTCCCCTATACTTTGCGCTTCAGCAAGTTTTCACATTCAAATCTAAAGAAGTTTAGAGTTGCAAAAGGAACTTATTGCAGATTTAATTTTATTAATGCAAATATCTGGAACTCTGAGCAGAGTTAATTTTCTTTCATCGTTGACAAAATCTGGTTGACTTACCTTAGCCGCTGACGTGGAACTGATACCTTTATGTGGATATTAGACACCGTTGAACGAACAGGGTGAAGATAGATCATCCAGTTTTGTGATGTTTTTTACAGCATGGTCAGCTATTATAATTCTATATATTACTACAAGTTCTACTTGTTATTACTCAAAATGAAAGTAGAATTGTATGTAGACATTATTAGAATATATGTTCAAGATGGATTGTGCTTAGTTTTCTAATAATATTGTAGAATTATTAAGTGAAATAGACGTCTGTGTTGCACATTGAAGTATTCTCCGCAAAGCCTGAAAAACAAACTAAGAATTTCCGTATCGTCGGTTTTTATAAGGAGCTGAAACTAGGGTTATAAAAAATTCCCGATCATAAACGAAAACCCCTTTTGATAGTCTCTCGAAGAAAAGGTTCGGGAAAATAGTTCCATTTTATTAATCTTAAGAAAATTACCTTGTTTTCTAGTTGAATTACAATGATGGGACTGGGTATTAACTGGTATTTGTCGTTTTACAGAAAAACTGTCTGGGTAATTGTGACTTCTAATGCAACTTAGTTAGTGACGCTCGAACATCAAATAAATGAGCAAACATTGTAGCAATGCATTTCTTGCTTTCATTTGACATTAAATAGCGTAGAAATGCTAACAGACGTAATCATCGTATAGGGTCGTCATATATCCTATCCTACTCATGAAAATTTTATTGGCTTTTGTAGACCAACGACTACTATTCCCGGGCATACAAGCATCATCTTACAACTACGAAAAAACTTTGGTTTCCGGAGACGGTATGATCACAAAAACCTGCAACTAATAAACGTTCTCAAAACATACCGTGAGGATTTTTTTCTCTGAATATAAGATAATGAATGTTAAGTTGGTTGCATACCTGCTTGTAATGGATTGATTTGGACTTAAAAACTGAACATAAAATTTGATCGAATTGTAATGGCCTACTCCTCAATTATTACGAATTTTATGTTCACTTTTAGAGGATGAATATGCAACCCAACATACATGAATTATCCTATTTTCAGAGAAAAAAAACCTCACGGTATATGATAGATGATGAAAAGTAGATATGTTGTGAAGAGACAAGGAAGACATATTGTAATAAGATTTTTGCTTGGAATGCAATAATTTAGCGTCTCAGTAAAGCAATTAATGCATATCTACTCAGCGTCACGATTCCTTTGTATCCCGTATTAAATTAATTGAAATAATTACATTAAGTCTCGGAGGTGCGTTATGCATTCTAATGATTTCTAGGTATGTGTCGCTGTTCTGCTTCGTTCAAACTGATTAAATTTACAACTTTTTTATTATAGATATGACCCTTCTCCAGTACAGACTATTTGTTATAACATAAACTGACAGCGTTTGATTAGTTCATCACATGGCTACGTAAGGCAGCTTTAACGAAAACTTAAAGTAAGTATCTGTGAAGTGAGAACGGCTTGATGAACTCCCGCGAGGTTAAATCAAGTTAATTGAGAAAATTTATTCGGTTATTGAGAATTCGGCTTTCTCATTTCCATTGTTCGCACTTCTTTTTAGGTCACAGATTCTTGTGACCTCTTCTATGAAATGGATATTTTCGCCTATAACTTGTCCTTGGATTTAGTTTCTCTGGGTCGCTCAGCGAATTATCCCCTTCGAATTCCATTTCGTTGTTATGTGCATCGTTTTTTGTTAGACAATGAAAACAAGGAAAAGGATCAGGAACCTTAACCTTACGCAGATTTTGAATTTTGCGTTGACTTACAAACGCGATGAATGTTTCAGTGACAGACGTCCAGGCGCCTTGCAACTATACACTAGCTGAAAAGGGTGTATTTGTTAAATGAGAGAATCAATAAATGCAGACCCTATATAATTCGCGGGCAGCGAGACCTACATTAAAGTGATAGTCTTTATCACGTAGTATATGAGCTGATAACGCATAGTCTTCAACATATTCCCTTGACGTCCCTAAAGTGCACGCCGCGTCGAAGTGCTTTCGGTTTTACGGAACTTAACAGGATTTCAGGACTAAACCCTATCTTACGAGTAACCAGAAACCTCTTCATCTCACGACTCGATGGTGAACTTCTTCTCGCCTCTCTCATAATTAAGCATTCGCGTATACACGTTCTGATTTTAAACGCGACTGAGTTTGTAGTAGGTTTCACGATACGAAATCGCTGCTTGATGTAAAATTCTGGTTGTTTGGCGAATTTTTGAATACAGATCCGTTGTGCGCTCGTTTCGGCTATTTATGATTTTCCTCGTCGTATTTTATCATGTCGTCTAACTCGAGGAAATAGCTAAAACCCATTTCACGCATCAGATACCAATCACTTAATTAATTGATGATCACATCAAGATTAAATTGTCACTTTAAAAATCAGTCAGCAGGGAAGAGTAATTAAAAGGATCAGGCGACATCCTAATTGAACTCTTGTCCGGATTTAATCGTGCTAATGTTGTTTACCTTTTTAAGATTAAGTACAGCCGATTTGGAAACTTCTCAGAGTACCGAGGTTTGATGTGACCTTTATACGTTGAAAGTCTTTCCATGTTGCTAAGAATTGCTGTTTTGCTCGGTTCCCTTTTTCGCTTGATGAGATGGCTACTGATATTATCTTCGGTCTGATGTATCATTTCAGATACATATGTTTTGTTAAATGCGGGTCAAGGATAATCTTGCACTGCACGTTTAACCAGTGTTTAATTTTTGAGTTGTATGGAGCCTGTTAGAACGAACCGTATTTTGGAAGTCAAACATATACCAAACAACTGTGTTTACATGGATGACTTCTTTATTTAAGACGAGAAGCGAGTTGGACCATAGAAATCAAGATAAACTCAACTCGCTGCGTCGTGTCAAGTTTGCTCTTCAATATTCTTATTGATTTTGAAAGGCAAAAAATATTAAAAGCTGGATTCAAGTTTGGAACGCAATCAAACTAAAATTGGACCAGTTTTAAGAACACTAATATCGGCAGACACTCTAAAAGCTTCTTGGATGATTAATCACTTTGTTAATCAATCAAAGAATGATTCGAAACAAGCTGATGAGAGCTTATATAACCTAGTTCGAACTCTAGAAATTTTCTAGCGGGGTTGGAGTTAATAATTAGCAGCGCTAACGAAAAACTTTCAGATTTATTGCGTTAGTTGAGATATTATCAATGGAGAAGATATTACGGTTCAAGTACCTTGAATAATTGCGGCGGAATTGAGGGTTGTATTTCATATTTCACCACAATGCTTTGTAAACACTGCCACGTATTTTAAGTGTTATTAAATATTGACACTCTATATCATCCTTTCGTAACGCGAAGAATACCTGCAGCCGACAAGTAACACGATAATATTTCTACGCCACTGCACTCTCATTGATCTTACCCTCTCACTATGCAGAAAACGCGTTTGTTTGAGTAATACTGACTATATATTCTACAATCGCAACAAAGAAAAAACTTTATTCAAATTTAAAAATACACACGCGGAACTGGAATAAACAAACAGAACTTAGAAAATATTCAGAAACAGGTTGGTCGTCTTTGGTATTGCATTGACAACAGTCAGTGCGGTAGTTTCGGAGATTATCTATCTAATAAAACTGCCAAGAGACCGACTACAGACAGACAGACCCATTTTTAACAAGATATGACGTCATACTTGACCGAAACGTTGTAAATTTATGATAGTGTTTGCAAGCATTTTTACAGAAACGCGTTTGTTTTGTTTCTCGTTTCATTCCCAGCTTAAATGTGCAATGTGCATTGTTGCGTCTATGATCACAATATAGAATAATCCTTTGTTATAGCTAGCAGAATTGTAGTATTCGACAGTATTGTCACATGTATTTAGGGATGTTCTTGCAGACAATATGTCGTTAACACTGTTTCCTCAAGACAAAGATTACCATCTCAATACAGCTGTACTAAATTCGAAACACATTAGCTGTGAGCACAAGAAATGTACTAATCTCATTTCGCTCGATTAGGCAATTAGAAGTTATGTTAGTTATTAAAGTTCATTAGTTTTCGTGCAGTCCTAATGTAGCTACAAATTCTGTTCAACAAAATCACGTTCAAAGTGGATGCATATTCATTAAGAGCAACAGTTTTGCCATTTGCATGTTTAAGATCATTATCTTGAAATGCGATGTATATACCCAAGAAATTAATAGAGGTTCGTTGGGTAACAACACAAAGGACATCCCTCAACTCGCCTTATTAATTTTAAATTGGACAATTAAGAACTGCAGTTCTGCTTCAGTTTTGGTACGGGAAGTGTGATAAATCAGCTTATAAGGGTTTCGTAAGGAGATTATGTCGTAAGTAAACACAATAAAGGGCTGAGCTACCATATTATAACGTTGGAGACAAGCACAAAAAATAAATGTTTTATATTATTTTGTGTATTATTTTCATTCTAAATTTAGTCAAAATTATTAGATTCAGTTCACGAGCATCCACTATTTGAAGTTTTGTCACTTTATTGTAGCTGTCATAAAATTCTGCCGAAACGACTTAGCATTAAAGGGAACATTAAAACCAACAGTGTAGAAGCAACGTAAAAATTGAAGTCATCGTGCAAATTGTCGCTAAAACGGCAAAAGTAATTTTAAGACTTTGTTTTTTCCAATTCCACTCTCCTTAAACAAGTTGTGTGGAAATAAATTTCCGGTCCCAATTTATTTATGGAGAGGAGCTTTGCTTGTTAAAGTTCCCGTGCAGAACGACGTAATAGTTTAAATAAATTACAACCTATTTGAACCTCAGAAGGAGTTTCTAACTCGCACGTCTTACGATAATTAAGAGTTCTAGCCAGAAAAGGTCCCTAGTCAAAAGCGTGAAAAGCAAATAAAAGTAATCCACCTGCAACCTTGCTTTTATATCTTACAATTAGAGGTAAAAGAACTCTGTGGAAAGCGCAAAGTTTAAAACACGTCGTTTACATTTAGAAAACGGTAGAACGTGTACGAAACACAAAGGTCGCTTGATTATTGCATACACGTAGATCCGGTTGTGACGCTACCGCAAACCGGTTTATCTCAACGCAGAACAGGTTTTAGGCGAAACTTAGACCACATAATTAGTTAACTACACATATAAATACTTAAATGATAACCGTGACTGCTATATTGCAACACGAAAAACGAATCGATTAGTTATTTGAAACCGGTTTAATTCAACCGATTTAAAAAATCTGATCCTTGGTAACATATGTGTTTTATCTGCTTTCTCAAGGGGTTGTGCAAGATAGCACTTTAAACAATTGCCGCTATAAACGTTGAAGTAACCGTTATTGCTGTAATTTGTTAATTTAGTTGTTTTACTGTCTTCCTCAATCAACATTAAGCGGTTGTGATAGTATCCTCTTGAGAAGTGATCTGTCTGAAATGTGTCGTTACATGTTCAAGGTTTTCATAGTAATACCGAGTTGATATAGTGTAATATCTTTTTAATGCCTCCTTCTTTCATACTCGGTGATTCTAGCACACAGTGCGCTTTTATGTTAGATTTACGTTGTTTTGGTTGTCTTATTGTAGTCACGTATGGTATCGGAAAATATTTATTAAAACTAGTAATTGCAGCACATAGAACTTACCGCCTAGGGGGAAAAACTGCGAAAATATGTGTTTGAAGGAGTCTTCGTCCACCATTCCAGTCGGGCATTCCTGGAAATTTACAGAATATTAATATAAACGCGCTAAGTCGTGCCAGGTGTATTTCTTATAATATAACTATACATACTGAATAATGGTTTCGCTTCGTTTAAACTTAATAATTCACGAAAAACAGCTAAATAAAGCAAACAAAAACTCGCAGCAATACAATTTTGGTTGTGTGTTATTGTGTGTACATTTCTAATGCAAGTAATCGATAATTCAATATGAGGATGTAAATAAACCATCCCTACAATCTACTAAACCTAATATTCGGAAGTAAGTTTGCTTTACAAAGATGTAACATCCGAATTTGAATTTTATCACAAAGTTGGAAATTACAGGCTGGTATGGAAATATGCTGAAGTTTAAGTTATTGCTGTGCCTTTCACCTTTCATCCCACAAAACCAACATTTACATATGCAAACTACAATTGTCAAAGAGGATGTGGAAAGGCTAGTTATCTTTGATTATATAATCTACTTCGGAATTAACTTCATAGTCAAACATTAAACCCATATATACAATTAAAGCCCGTAATATTATTTCCTCTTTGGGATTCAACTGGTTCCACATTTTATTTATGAGAAACGAAACAATTCTTTTATACGTTTTACTAACCTGCTTGAATCCGCGGTACATTAACTGAATTTCTTTCCTTGTAAATTTGGTTTTCGAGGCTAATTTCTGTAATTCTTCTGGTCGATACCTGGCTATATGAAAGTTAAATTCGTCTGATTCTTCATCTGAAACACAAATTTATACCTTATTAGTATTCAACATACAAAAGTTCATACTGTTACATTGAATGACGACTAACTATTACAGCGATTATGTACAAAATAATTCCGGCGCAATTTGACTGGACTCTCTTCACTGAACTAGCTGAATGATAATTGCGTTCCCGAAGCCGCTCTATTTAAACCCATGGCGACTTCCGCTTCCAGGTTTTTCGAACGCCGCTCGGCCGCCGTCACCAACGATGAGTCACCCGTACCTAGTAGAAAGTTCTCGTACCGGGGTGGCGAATGGGTTTCGTAACATTGTAATTATTGTTTTCCAATAATCTTAATAAAATGAAGAAAACACGAATTGGATCATAAACGACATAATATGACTTGTTCGTAACAAAACAACATTTCGAATTTTAACGATTATTGAATAATTTAACGTTTTGTGTTCTATTGATGGTGTTCATCAATTCATCGAGTATTATTTGATTATCATTCATTGGTGTAACTGTGGACAGTTTATTGAATATGTGATGAACACATTGGGCGGACTGATTCAATTCAAATTCTTGAGACCAAAGTTTCGACCAGAAAGTTGTTAGTCCTTTGAAGTTCATCGGAGTTTGTATCTATTAGTTAAATGTCGATAGAATTCTTTTTCATTGTTAAAAAATAAAGTGTTATGGATTTTTCTGAGATATATATACTTGTATATTTTATTATATTTTTGGTCAATGTGGTGTTCTAAATCCTCTAAGTTATTGTGTTATTTGACCTGGTTGTTTTATAATGTTATTAATTGTATAATTTAATCTTGTTTTCCAATGTGAAGCGGAGTAGATATGATTGGTGTTAGTATTTATTATGTCGTTGCATGTGTTGATTTGAATGCAAGCTAAAGCTGCACAATAGATAATTGTGTAAAGTTTTTCAAAAGAGATAGTATTCGTTATCTCGACATTTGTTAGAAATATTTTCAAATAACGGTGGCGTGGAAGTGAATGTTAATAAAATTTATTTATTCATTTCCTACGGAAATCGATGACGTCATCTCAAAAAAGAAACTGGAACTGGTTATATATATTAAAAAACATATATAAGAATATTGTAATTTATTACTTGAAGAATGTTTAAAAAAAATTAAAGCATGTCCTAAACAGATCATATTCTATTAGTTAAAGTGCAGATATACTGGAGCACAGTAATATTTACTCTCGAATAAAGTGACGATAACTGAGATTGAGTAAACTACATACCCATTATAATTTTATTTGCTTGTTATTTCCAATATTAATGCATTTGTCGGCTTTTCACTTATCGGTTATGATTGATCACTTTTAGAGTGCATAAATTTCCGCCCTGGACTAACTTAATAAACTCTTCCATTAAAACGGTGCATTGTAAGGCCGGATTTAGGTAAATAATATTAGCTTCAGCACATATCGCAACAATGAACCCTAATGGTTAAGGACTCTTATAATGCGGAAATTGTCTCCTAACACTTCGACGAAGCACCTCCAAAAAACATAAATTACTAAAACGTGTTTCTACAGAGTTTCTATAAGTGATTATGGGGTCGAAATAGGTCATGCAAGTGTGCCGCCTATCACTTTATGCGGATTTTATTAAATGCCCAAGGACGACAAAAGGAAACTATCTCTCAAATATATGGTGACAGTTGCATTATTTCTTATCTCGCCAGGAACTGGTACCCAATATAAAAAACGATTATGTAAATTACAGAGAAGCCGCGCGCAAGCAAAAATGCTTAGCCACGCCCTTTACTTTGTAGTGCTGAGTACTTTGAATTAGCGCGCTTGCACCTCACCGCAACGATGAAATCTCCTCAAGATTTATCGTTTAGCGCAGGCGGTGAACACCAACATGGTAAGAAGTGTATTCAATTTGCAAAGTAAGTTTTCACACTCGTCCTGAATAGCATTAGGCAATCGAGATTTGTGGATATGGCATGTGAGTTAAACGTACGTGACTGAGCGTAAAATTTACCATTTGTTTAATATTTCATCCTGTCTAATCTCGGCGTTAGCATCCACGTATATTTTCGATGAATAAACTTGGTGTTTTCTCGATAAATAACAAAGCTAGGGTAAAACCCAATCTATATCTGCTCTCTGATGAAGGTGTAATCTTCGCCCTGCCACTTTTTAGTGATAGAGCCGTATTTATCAAAGTAAAACTTTGGTGGAAAGTATGCAATAAAATCAAGATGAAAGAAGACATCACACGCTGAAACTTGGCTTTTACAAGGCGTTTATTGTGGATGTGGCGCACACAAAGTTGCTTTCGAGTAGGATAAATTTGAAGACGGTTTGCATACGGTTGGGGAATGATCGAGTTGGGATAAGGGCTTTATAGTCATACACTTACTGTAATGAGGTGGTGACGAATGAAAAACTAACCACTCGAAATACCTAGAATGTGGGAGACTAATGTAGAAGAGTATATAAATAACTTCGTTATATGTACATTTGTAAATTTAAGTAATATTTTTTCAAAAAATAGTGAAAATATATATACATACTGATCAAAGTTTTTCATCTCTTTTCACGACGGTAGAAAAAAATGTCAGCCAAATCACATTTCATTGACATAAACAATTATATGAGCATTTGGTCAGTTCACTATAACGAGCTATAATACTAAAACTGGTTTTATGATCACTAAACTCGTTTGAATAAATAACTACCAGTTACAACTGGTTTCATTTGAGCTTCATTTACTTTTGTAAATAAAATACGTGAAAGTCGTCGCAGATTTCAGTCGCAACTAAATGCCCCCCGTTTTTACCCCAGTTTAGCTGGTTGGTGCAATATTTTAATAATCTATTACCTCTAAAATGTCATGTCAAGAACTCATTTATCACGTTTCTGTGGCTTCAGTGACAGGATCATCTAAAATTTGTCGACCCTTGTTTGTCAGTTTTGGATAAAACTAGCTCTGTTGATTCCTGTAAAAGAGATAGATCATCGCTCCTATACAGTGAAACTAGAGAGTTTCATTATTAGCAAATCATCTAAAAGTAAATAATATAGTAGTGCAAATTTATAGTGAATTTAATTGAAGTGGTTTGCTCTGATTGGTGGTTCGTTAACTTTGTGATCGCTGTTCATTATGTGACTAATAATGTAGTTTCAATATTTTACATCGATTATACAATGAAAGTCATCGTCGATTAGGGAATAGTAGTAATTACAAATGCGGTAGTGTTTCCACTATTAAAACGAAGTAATAACGTTGAGTTATTGCAGCCACTAAATCATATATAGCTCCGATAAACGAAATTATTTTCACATCACTTTACAAAGTTACAATTGAAGGCGCAAAATGTGCGTCTAATTTGATATTATGGAAAAAATATGCGAAGACATGTTTCACTCTGAGAATTTTCTTTGCGAAAACACGATAACGAGATTTGGTAACTGACAGCGGCTGCCATCATATACATATTATCTCGGGTTTCGTACTGTGAGTTTTTTGGGTTCAGATCTCGATGTGAAACACAGTAGTATGAAAATATGGAAGATGAAACGGTTAGAGAAAGACTGATGACGCGCCTTAACCACCTCAGATAGCTGAAATATAGTTTCAACCTGAAGGCGACGAGCATTTAACGATATTTCATGTTTGAATATAAATTTCTTCGGTGAATTCAATCAATAGCAGTGAAGCAGTCCAGCACAGAGCTACATGATGGATTGTATTTTGAATCTACCACCAGGAGTTCCTGTCACATACCTAAAGAGATATGTGGCTATGATTGGAAGTCTTCGTCTTCACGTTACAAATTACGATTTCTAAACGACGTCAAATAGGTTTTGGATGTTCGAACGTTTTGTGCGACGTACGAAGTATAGATATGTCGGTTCTTTTTCCTTTGTAGAGGATTTGAGAGGTCAAGTATGCTTTTAATGTGATGAGATGGCCGCACCTTAACGTCGTAAGGGTTAGGTTGACTATTAGAATCACGAATGTTTTTGGACTACCGAATGTACGAACAGTCAAAATATAGTCGGAATTATTAGAACAAATGGAAGAATACGTCAAGCTTAGGCGCATATTCGAGCCGACGGCCGACATGGACAGCTTAATATGAGGAATGAAATATGCGAAAATGCAGCGGACAGGAACGTAAAATATGTACATTATTTAAAATTAACATATTTTATAAGAAAACCTAAGGTGAAGTAGTTCGTGACATTTTTACGTTTCCATGCCTGCGGTGATGTTTTAATTTGCATTGGCACAGACGTCGTATTCTCTTAACTTTCATAAATCCTGAAGGAGCCGCGCTAGACTCCCTCGGGATTCGAAAGATTTTACACAGAATCTAAAGAAACAACAACGCTTTGGAAAACTGATGCCAAATACCGATCAATCAGGCTGTGCGTGGTTTATAAGAACGCCCTCAGAAACGTTCGAAGATTCCCCGATACGCACATAATGTTTTCTCACTTTGATTCCGCTTTTATTCTTTTAATACCTTTTGTGACATAAGCGGTTTTGACACTGACTCGTCAGATGGGTGGGAATGCGTGGGTTTTTTCACAAATAACAAACGTCAGTTTTATCACGTCCTCATCTGAAAATTTAACTGGAAAAATTACACCGTATAATAATAAGGTTTTGTTTTAGGACCCATTATGTTCGTAGTTTATGTCAATGAATTAATAAATGAACGGACAAGCTTAATACTTTTTACGAATAGAACTCGAGACGGTTCTGCACTGCTACAAAAATGGATACAAAGAAGAACTCGCTTGAAGAAGCAGAGAAGTGCACACCATCATTATGTAATTTTACTTCTTGAATTTTTGGTCTTTGTTGGACTCATGTACTGGTAATCTTATTTTTCCGAAGGGCGAGCCCACCATCAAGAAACTTTTCACTACCCCTTCGAGTCCAACACCAATGCCGGTTAACTAGAAGAACGGCACCCGTCCAATAGGGCTTAGAGCCGGTCCCAAGGTTCCAGTCCTAAGTATGGAGGTACTGGT